TACTTACATCTTTAATTTTGGTCGTATTTACTAGCATTTTTAGTTTGGATTGATTGTAACTTAGTTCATTTCTGGTTTTGGTCGTATTTACTAACATTTTTAGTTTGGATTGATTGTAACGTAGTTCATTTCTGGTTTTGGTCGTATTTACTTAACATTTTTAGTTTGGATTGATTGTAACTTAGTTCATTTTTAGTTTTGGTCGTACTTACGTGGAGGGAAGGTCTTCACGCTTACGGTGTTGCTGAACAGAGGTCCAGCTGGAACAGTGTCTACCAGACCTCCCTTAGGCTGTTTCATCACCTTGATATAGTACTGCGAGTTCGGTTCTAAGCCATGAATGTTAACATCATAAACACCTGGTTCGACCAATAGAAGATCTCTCAGGAAGAACTTCTGTTTCATCCACTTGTTGTCACTTGGACCTTGTCGAGATTCCGTAGTATGTGCATACCACACTTGAATCATCATATCAGAGTGCTCTCTCTCTGTATTCGTTTTCTCTGGAGTGATGACAACACGAAGTCGGACAAAACTCGCGTTCAGGGCCTCAGCAGACTCGATCTTCACCAACAGACCTATCGATCAAAGAACACCACGCCATTTAACAAAACTAAAACCAAACAGTTATGTGTAATTTTCACTTTCAAAGGTCTTTTAATCCAAGTTCTTGCTTATATTCTGTGTACCAGACACACCTGTATTATTAAAGTTAACATTTTTGTTTTTCATAAACCTTCTTAAACATTTTCAGAATTTATACGATGAGAAGACTTTGTTGGTTAAAACCAACACAAATGCCCTACGACTGTTTAAAATAAACTCAAAAAGGGCTTTTAATGGAAGATTTAAACAGCATTCTAAATTGAACGTACGTATTTTGATACCTATCCAAGTGTCACTTATCAGCCTTTAGTTATGTAAAATGAGGCATTCATTTCAGAGATGAAAGTTCCACAAAATTAATATCAAATATCAGTTCATCCTTTACAGTTTTATTATTATTTGACTGTAAAACAATTCTTTCAGTAATAATCCTGGAATTATAGATGGGGTTGACATGGGCCCCATTGGAATTTTCCCCTTTTTCTAATATAATAAGACACCAAACTGCTTGACTTTGTTTGGTACAGGGCTCTAATAACAACATGGTGAGACACAAGAACGTAAACAATATCATCATCAATGTTACAGCTGCACCAATTAGTTACTGCTGGAATCTCATAAAAAAAAAACAAGCGAGTGATTTTACTTATTATTCTTTACACTATGTGTTGTAAGTGAGAAAAACATGAAATTACTCAGGATGATGCAGTGTGTGTGGATTCTATCGGTAGTGAACGACACCAAAATAATTCGGTAAGTTGAGGCTTACGAATAACTTATTTTCTCTAAAAAATTATTATTTTGTCCTTTTTTAAAGTTAAGTCAATAGTATATGACGTCATTAGAAATCTTACCTGCAAGATCTGGAAGATTTTGAGATGGGCCTTCGGGCTCGCAGACCATGATGCGACAACATGGGTCACTAGGGTCGGGTAATTCCCTGCAGTTGGGGCCACTAGTTACCACCAGGGAACAACGAGGTACACACATAATACGGCCCCCTCCTTCACAAGTACACGAAGCTTCACAACCATCCATAAACATTTCTCCAGTTTTGTATGTCTCATTCTTAAACTTACAACCATCCTGTCTCACTGGGACCTTTAGATCTAAAGATAGACAGATAATCATATTAGTAGATCAAAACTGGTACTTTACGCACGTTTTGTTACCACCTAATTATTTCTCTTCTGTACGAGCTAGAAAGCTATTGCTTCACATAATAATACCACAGTAAACAATCTAACACTAATGGTAAAAGGGGATCTTTTTTTATTATTATTTGAAGATTCTGAACCTCAGTAAATATTTTATAATTTTTCGTACATTGCATTTTGATTTTTTTTTTAAGGTTATAAGTTGTGAAAAATGTGGAATTAAAGTAAGAATGTATTATATCTTTTCATATACTTGTATTGGTATTTTACATTTATGGCAAAGCTAATAAGGCTGTCTGCAGCAACCAACCACCCACCAAAAACTAATGAATTGACAATCATTCTTATAACACATTTACAGCTTAAAGTGTGGGGAATATTTTGTGGTATCGCACGGATTTGAACCGGTCCCACCATCTCCGAAATACAGAACGCTACCACTAGAGGCCACAAATATATATTTTGGCAAAGTAGGAGTCATTTTCAGCTAAGACAGTTTCATTTTTCTAACAGGGTGGTTAGCCTTTGGAATGGGTTGCCTTCAGATGTTGCAGAAGTAGTAAATTCAAGTGAGTTTAAGAAAAGGCTTGATAAGTATATGAATGAAAAGGGCTGGATTTAGCTGTTTTTTTGTGGGTTTTTCAATTTAGTTTAGAGGATAGAACAGCCAAGATTGACCAATAGGTCCCATGTTGTACCAAACCGTTATGTTATGTCATGTTGGGGCCAACCCGAGTTTTTGGAAGTAAAAGAATTAGAATTCTCATCATACAACTTTTTCTTTCGAATAACTAAACCTATACATGATGGAAAGTGTGTTTCTACAATAAACATGAGGTAATTTACTGTATTATCAAGCTAGATAGAAAGAGAACAAATAAAGTCATAGTTAAAATGTGTACCTTTAAAATGTTCGGATCTCGATGAAATGTTTGCTGCATCCTTCATATTGTCTTCTTCTACAGTTGTTTCCTCTATTACATCCACGCCATTAATATGCTCCACAATGTCTGACTTTTCAGTGACGTCATTCTCACCAGAAATCGTCAACTGTGTCGTCAATCCCTCGTTATTCGCTGGATTGATACTCAAAGTTCCTTCCAACTCCAGTTCTTTGTCGTTTTCATTCTCGTCGGTCGTGTTCTTCATCTTCATTTCCACTGTTTGGTTTCTTGTAGCCTTTTCTTCATCCAAGAGATCGTTACTCTGTGTTTCATCAATCCCAAGCAGTACATTCGACACATGGCTGTTCTTTTCAGTTGGTTCTTTGTCCATCTCCATCACAGTCTCTGTACTGATTCCTTGCTGTCCTCTATCTATCCAGTCAGACTTGGTCGATTGTTTTTCCTTCTTGATTTTTTTCATAACTCGGTATTTATTTTCAAATCCCATAGGAGGAGAAACTACTGTAGTAACATTCTCGTCAGAGGATTCACAAGCGACAATCTCGCAACAGTTGTCTTGAGGATCCGATATAATTTCACAGAGAGGATCCTCAATTTGTTTTTGATCAAAACGGAAAGAGCATCTGTCTTGGCATCGCACCTCTGTAGTCTCTTCACATAAACATCTGTGTTCACAACCATCATTGAACTCGTCTCCAACTTTATATGTGACGTTTTTAAACACACAAACTTGTAAAAGCTCTCGTTCTTCCGCTGTTGCTATAAAATTAAAAACCGGAAAGATCTATGCACAATATACAAGTTACGAGAGGTGGCTTAACGAGCTAAAGTTTTAAACACGTGATGTTAGTGAATCGTACATCCATGATATAAAATCATTACCAAACCCTATTTTATAATCTTAAATTACATATAAACATAAATTTAAATTAGCTATATTTACAAAACGGTTTTTAATATAAATAAAGCCATAAAAGGCTATTAAGTATATGCTATTTTATAAAGAAAAAACAATATTTCACTCCTCTCCCGTGATATATTTAAAAGTAATAGGAATTGTGACGTCTAAAGCTACCATAAAGAGTAACTCACACGCAAACAAACATATATTATAATACAAACATACGAGATTAATATTTTATTAATTGGTTTATTTATTCCCTACAGTACGAAGAAGTTATGGTTCTCATATGCTTTGAGAAATGATAAGTAATTCTATGTTTATTTGGAAGAGAAAGACTGTTTGGCAATAACCCCAAATCGTACCCGGTCGACAGCCTCTATTGATGTCGTTGGGGTCTCCCTCGAACCCCTGTCGACAGACACAAGATGGCGCAGGACCTTCTACAACACACTCTGCGTTTGGTCCACAATATACCTGCTCACAGATATCTGGGGGGAAAAAAATCATGCTGAATAAAAAAACACATAAATCACCTGGTGACATATGGGGGGGGGGGGTAAGTCGATGAAACCGGAAAGTAAAAAATGGAAAGGAATCTTAGGTTCCAAGAATTCCACAATTCATTCGAGGGTTACACAATGAGTATTTGCACCAACACTAACCATACCACAAAAAAAGTCTCAAGAACCATTTGTTTGGCTTTATTTTGTGAGATTAAAAGTAGTTCCTGTGCCATAATACACCGTGTAACAGTTGTGAGAATACCCAGCTCGTTACATGTAGCACTAAGAAATGGGTTATTGCACTCTAAGTGTGTGTTTTCTTACTAATTATTATAGGTTTCAGTTTTTCTTGTTAACTATTTGCGGCATTACGTAATTCGAGTCAGTTTGCTATACAGAATTAGCCTTAATATTTTATAGTCTAGTTTTTTAACTGATTTAATATCAGAAAATATTAATAAAAAGTTATGTCTCGTTATCATACATTACTACCTATTGCCATCAATTACTTCCTTCACACATTACTACCTTTTATTATATATATTATACATTATTACCTGTTGTCATACTTTTTACCTTTGTAATATATTTTGATCTAAATAAAATGAAAACAAAACATATATAGCTTCTCAAACGGATTTTTTTAAAGTGAATGGTCAATAATAAATTGTACCAGATACGTTAATACTGAACAGCTTAAATAATAGGTATTCTGGAACAAAATATGATCGGTAATGATCTTTTCTTAACTAGACACAAGTAACACACTGTGGAAACCGGCCAGTCACCCTGTGAGATACTGTGGAAACCAGTCAGTCACCCTGCGAGATACTGTGGAAACCGGCCAGTCACCCTGCGAGATACTGTGGAAACCGGCCAGTCACCCTGCGAGATACTGTGGAAACCGGCCAGTCACCCTGCGAGATACTGTGGAAACCAGTCACCCTGCGAGATACTGTGGAAACCAGTCAATCATTCTGTGATATACTGTGGAAACCAGTCAATCATTCTGTGATATACTGTGGAAACCAGTCAATCATTCTGTGATATACTGTGGAAACCAGTCAGTCACTCTGCGATATACTGTGGAAACCAGTCAGTCACTCTGCGATATACTGTGGAAACCAGTCAATTATTCGGTGATATACTGTTGAAACCAGTCAATCATTCTGTGATATACTGTGGAAACCAGTCAATCATTCAGTAAGATTTTGGGGAACCAAACAGTCATAACGAAAAAAATCTATAACGGCGACTACTTGTGTATTTGTACTTTAATTATCTTAAAGATAAAAATATATGTATATTTAAGTTAATCAGATCCCATCTAGCCAACAAAATAACATTTAGCAAAAAACTTTAACTTCCCTGTTCGGACAGAGTTTTCTTAAAACAACTCGTACTCTGTGAGAACTTACTTCTACCCAGAAAGGGTTCCACACAAACAGCGCCACCACAGGAACTAGGACAACATTTAAATGTGTTTGGACACTCATAGTCGTGATCACAGTCACGTGCACACGAGTCGTGGTCCACGCTCTGATCTTCCACAATTTCTGGACACTCTCCATGTTTATCAGCATACGAAGGTGCTATAAAATAAAGATGTACACACTGAATAACTATAGGCATTAAAAACAGTGTTTGGCAGCCACTAATGATATTACTAATTGAATTTAAAGTCACAAATAAAACACGTTTGTCGGCTATTGTTTATTATATTTTTATGCTTACTTTGGATACTGTTCAGTGATGTACATTTTTATTAAAGTGAAAGTCTTTACATTATTCTTAACTGACTGTTATCATTACTAAAACGCAAAGGAAATTTTCGGGAAATAGAATAAAAATAAGTGAATATGTTACAACTATAGTTCATAATCTCACGTGAGATAATAATATATTATCATTTTCTATTCAGAATGTTCTCACAAAGCTACTACAAAAGGGCCATTTGCTATCTAGTTAAGAACACCCGTGTTAACGGGACGCGAAAAATGAAACCCTCGAGTTCAAAGTCCGGACACACTAACCATCAGATTACACTGGGCCCCGTAGCAATATTTGAATTTGGGGTTTTCATTACTTTCTCTGATCTCTGTTTGAATAACGATCACTCAATCTCAAGATTCAACTAAATTTATGTTATTCTAGATAACGTGTATACGGCATTGGCCATAGAATAATTTAAGTGTAATTTTCGGTATAGGTTACTAAGATTTACCTCTACTTCAAATGAAGAGAGATAACATAATCTTAGCTCATGATATTATATTTATTTGTTTCGCTATTCACATTCATTGCAAAACGTTTCTTATTTAGCAACTTTTCGAGTCCCTAGATGGCGCTACATAACTACATACTATACGTCAATAGCGAGGGCATCATTTCTTATAAAGAATTAATAACTATATTAGTTTATTACACAATATTTTTCTAAGCATTATGAGTAGCAGAAACTGTATCTTTATAAAATCATAACATTTCTTAATTAAACCATACTCAACAAACCATCTTCTGCTTTACTGTCTGCACAGCGAACAGTAACGCAACAGGGATCATTCGGGACAGGTTTTTCAAAGCACATCGGATCATTTTTTGCCGATCCTGGTCGCATGTAAGGAACTGTGCATCTATCCTTACAGTCCCCTTCGTTATTTCCTTTACAGATACAGCGGAGGTCACAGCCTTCAAAAAACTCATCACCAACTTTGAGCGTTTGGTTATTTCTTATGCAGCCATCTAGAAGTAAATATCAATGAAATAATTTTTGGGTGAATTAAACGTAGAAATATATGGTATTATCATGATAAGAATTAAGATAATTTGAAAATAGTGCGGGTTTTAGATAAAAATGATGTTACATACATTTCTTTGTGGAAATCAGAAGTTGCCCAGTTAATTGTCGTGTGTTTAATTAAATTTCTGAACATCTGATTTTGATTTTTCATCACACCAACTACCCGTACGTCTAGGAGCTTTGGCTTTGGCTCTCCTAAACGTATCATTTCTAGCCTGATTTATTCATTTTTATATATAACACAGATTGAAGGAAGTTGTTTGTCTCATCTTGTTTAATCAATGGGTTTTAGGCTTACCCTTAAATAACTACATTTATACAATTTCATATTTGATTATGGCAACATTGTAGATATAAATCCACTCCTGATAATGTCTTTGTTGATATCAATATAAAAGTAACATTAATTTAAAAAAAGAAAGAAAGAAGAAGCTACATATAGTATGTGTACGTTGAAGGCAGTCACTTGTGTATTTATTTCAACAGTGTTTACGGAGAGAGACTGGGGCTCTCAGAAAGAGCATCATTGTTGTTATGAAGAGTGAATGTAGCACTCAGACAGAGCAGCATTGTTGTTATGAAGAGTGAATGTAGCACTCAGACAGAGCATCATTGTTGTTATGAAGAGTGAATGTAGCACTCAGACAGAGCAGCACTGTTGTTATGAAGAGTGAATGTAGCGTTCAGACAGAGCAGCATTGTTGTTATGAAGAGTGAATGTAGCGTTCAGACAGAGCAATGTTGATATGTACCCGATATCATAAAATAAACCGAGTTTTAAATACAAAAACTTCAAATTCCTACAGTTAGTTCAGTAAATATACGAGTAAGAGATAGCTATTAAAGTTCTTAAGACAACTAAATTGTAAAAAAAGAAAGTGGTTCTTCTGTATTTAAAATGGGATAGTTTATGTAAATCTTACTTGATAAACATTTTATCTTTAAAATCAGCGACTTGTTTAAAAGTTCGTTTGTTTTAACTACAATTACGAGTTGTTATAAATGAAAATTTCACTTTGAAGTTAGCATTCATTCTGTATCAAGAAATTTCATGAGTAACGAGATTAAGCACAGATTACGATAGCATCTCCCTCTCACGACTTTCGTAGGTTGCTGAATAAAAGTTGGTACTCGAGTATTATATCAATATATTTTATATTTTCAAATAATTTTAACTTCAAATTATCTAAATTCTACCTTAGGTAAATGTATTTCTTCAAAATAAAATAAAAACAACAATCTGGGTCGTAATTGTTAGCTAATGAAAAATTAAATAACATTTTGTAGATGGCGTAACATGTTAGTCATTCTTCAACTACAAGATTAGGCCTACCTTCTGTGAAAATGGTAACGACCTCGGAGGAAGTACCCAACCTTTTAGTTTCTACATCATCCCACACGGACACCCGAACCTGGTATGCTGTATGTGGACTTAACTGAGTAATTGTCATCAGCGGAATATTACCAGCCTAAAGTATTAGAATAAAAAAAATGTTAGTCCTACACATCTAATTCTTAACTTCTCAGATTACAAGTGGGAAACACTTTGAAGCCCACCTATATTAAACTATATTTCAACAGGTCATTGTACAGCAGTTTTCTAGAAAAAGACGTTAATATTCTGGATTACGGGTGAACGTTCTCTAAGCACGTAATTTTACAGGTTTACATTTTTAAAGGAAAATTACGTAGTATTATTTTATGAAACATACGTGTAACACATTGTAAAATCAAAATGCTTCAAATTTTTAAGGGTAAAACGCCGAGCTTAACTTTTATCAGAGTCTTAGTCACAAACAGATCATTCGGGTAGCCACGTCAACCTGTGTAATGTTTATTCTGAGTAAGTGAAAAAATTAGATAGTAAGAGACCCTTTTCAATACGTTACATATTCTAACAGGTTGTGTTGAACATGTTTCAACATCGCCAGATTCCATCAGCACAGATTTAGAAGTCAGAAACTTACAATAATTCTAAAGCGCGACAAGCGTTTTTAAGTACAGTACAGTGCTAGTTGTTTTGATCATAGACAGTGACGTAACTGTTCCTAGGTTATCCAGGGTCGGTGAACTATACTCAGAGGGAAGAAATTGATTAGAATCTTTGAAGATGACTTCAACATAATTCTGGAGCCAAGTTATTTCGCCAACTATGATAGCATCCGTTTTTCCAAAAATGTGCACTTGTCTGTAGATCATCAGTACGTGTGGAGTAGAGCAAGCTTTAACTATTTCAAAAATTAGCTACAAAATGTAATTAATACTCATACCACATTATTAATTAAGTTTTATATTTAATCCCTAAATGAAAGGTAAAACGGACACTCCTATAAATGTTGGAGGAACTATTGGGCGTGGCCAGTTTACAAAACAAGCAGGTAGAAGCAGTGTCACTGTCAAAGTTTTGGGTCAAGACAAACCCACTGGATGAAACCTACACTTTCTACTTAGGCGTTTCCGGTTTACGTCGTACCTTCGATATGTTGAAATAGGAAATGTTTAGTTGTTGTTTTTTTAGTTTACACAGTGTGGTCAATGTCCTTATATTGCGGGTGTTTATTTTTTCTAAAGGAAGCTCTAGCATAAAATAAAAATCCACAGAAAACCTTGATCACGGAACAATCAACAAATAACCCAACCATCTTTCAATTATTAGAACATGAACAAATAGGGTTTTATATTGAAACTAAATGCTTGGGTGGTTTTTGATGAATAATACTGAACTATTCATAGTTAGATTTTTTAAATATATACTGTAGAAGGAAATTGTAGTTATTAACAAACGATTAAGACCACAATGTTGGGTGATAGGCCAAAAATACCTTAAATTAGTCAATGTTCATTGTTTGAACAACTGTCCAACCGAAAATCGTAATGTAGATATTTTGATGATACTTGGTATATTCCTTGGATAACTTCATCTCTCATAAGTTCTTCAGTAAGTAATTCATTTCGGATAACGTATTTGTTTTGACACGTAAACGGTTCTTTGTGCCGACTGTACATACAATAATGTTTCAAAAAGGCAATTTTTTTTCAAACGAACACTATAGTCAAGAAAGAGCATTTTATTTGTAATAGTTTTTTCACGTTTTATCTACATCGGTACCTGAATTTGGTTCCAGTTTTCGAAGGTGTCTCCAGTTCCTTTCATTTCCCTGTATTCCACCACGTATCCAGATAGGTAATTAGGTAATTTAAAGTCATCCCACGCAATAGTTAGTGAGCTTGGGCTTCGCTGAGTCACCAAAACTTTGGGAGCGTTTGGAACGGGTGTATCTAACAGAATGACGTACGTTGTCAAAGTGATTCATCGCATAGAAAACATCAAAAAACAAAAATAAGTATTCTAAAAACGACATTAAATAAAAATAAGTTAGAGAAATGAAAATCGTCATGTTGTAAATAATGAATTCAGCAGAATTTTTATAATCATAACAAACAATACATTAATGTGCAACTAAACTATAGTATTTAAGTATCTTCTATACTATTATTCTGCTTGTTTGTAGCCGAGAACCTGCTACATAAGCATGCGTAGTTAAAATGTTTCCCTAAGAAAAACCCAGCAGAATTTTTATAATCATAACAAACAATACATTAATGTGCAACTATAGTATTTAAGTATCTTCTATACTATTATTCTGCTTGTTTGTAGCCGAGAACCTGCTACATAAGCATGCGTAGTTAAAATGTTTCCCTAAGAAAAACCCAGCAGAATTTTTATAATCATAACAAACAATACATTAATGTGCAACTATAGTATTTAAGTATCTTCTATACTATTATTCTGCTTGTTTGTATGTACGACCGTTACGCTTTCTGGCCGAGAACCTGCTACATAAGCATGCGTAGTTAAAATGTTTCCCTAAGAAAAACCGCGCATGCGCATTATTCACTCGACGACAAACAGTCTGCCTGCGGCAGAGAGCTGCAGAGCTCAGTGATCAAGTCGCTACAACTGCTGTATGAAACAAGAAGTAACAACAAAAAGGGGAATGTAAATGTACTTTACTAACCATTTTGTACAACAGATTATTAAAAACTTATCAAAGTTTTTAAAAAGTGTTTGACGTTAGGTCGTAGAATAACATTATAGTGTTTGTTTGTAATTATGTACAAAGCTACACAAGGGCTATCTGTGCTCTGCCCACCACGGGTATCGAAACCCGATTTCTAGCATTGTAAGTCCGCAGACATACCGCTGTGCCACTGGGGGTGGGGGCAGAATAACATTATAAGTTTATTTATCGATAGCATTAAGTACAGTAATGTTTAGACCTAACTAAACTAAAGTAAAAAAAAAAAAACGTACACAGGTTACAGTGCTAATTTATCTCTTTATCGAACTTAGGCCTAACATAAGTTAAGGTTTTATAAAGTACGGCCTTTATACAAGTGGATTTACACATTTCACTGTCTACGATTACAATTCGTTTGTAATGTGCTAGAAATGTTATATTCAAATAAGTACTGTTACGATAAAGATAATAATTTGGCCGGAAATGTTTTGCGGGTCTCTGCTAGTTGGTATAAATAAACTATATGTACATGAAGATGCAGATTAAAGACCATAAATACAATTAACGACATAGAGAGGCCATACTGGTATTTTCAACCGGAACTGTACCTTTATAATACGTGGACTAAACGAGCAAGTAAAAAGCCCTAAATTTCGGGTATAGCCGTCCTTACTGTTTTTACTACTGACCAGAGGAGAAACAGGTAATCAGTAGTGACCACTGCTTGTTCAACGGTATCGCGTCGCGAGCCTTGAACCTTCCGATCCGAGGCTCACGCTAATCACTAGGCCACAAGTCTGGGCCTGAACAACACAGAGAGAATCGAAAGAACTATTAGGAAAAATGTCGAGATATCGAAACATATTTTAGAATTTTAAAAAATATTTGAGTGTTTAAAAAAAAAGATTTTAGGCTTCCATCGTTAGGGTTAATTTCTTTTTCTTTAATATTCTCTCTTTAAAATTCGATTTTAAAATCTTAAATACAAATTCTGAAACCAATTGGAAGAGCTGAAAGTTTTTTTATTACTATTAAATTTTATTAACCGTTTTAATAACTGACAAAGTAAACAATTACACATACGAAATATTGGAGTTAAGTAGAATGTAAATATCCAAAATGTACATCTTTTAAGAGCCAGAACAAAGTAACGTAGTCGTTAAACAAGTTTTATTGTGAAAACAGACACACTTCAGCATAAAGTCATAACAGAATCAGAATTATTTATTACATTCTATTGCCAGCGATAAAATAAAAGAACTGTGTGAAAGGTGTAAAAACCTGTATTTTAGTCATGCCTGTCTGATTTAGACATTTTTCGCACGCGTTGTGAAATTTTGGATGTTACACACATATACTTATATATGGGATAAATATCGGTTTAATAGAAATATCCGACATTGTTGATGAAAGGAATGGTTATATTTTCAATAGTGTAAGTGCTGTAATAGATAGATACCCGATTTTTTGTATAGTTTACAGCATACACATCATTACCTTTACATTGATATTTCACGCAGCAAACATCGTCTTCATCTGGAATTTCCTGACACGAGGGGTCGCTGATGGACCCTGGACGAAAATGACAACGTTCTCGGCACTCTGATTTACCATTTTCCATGCATGTGCATGTTTGCTCACAACCCATATGAAATGTTTCTCCAAGGCCGTAAGATGTCGCTTCATCGGTAACACACCCGTCTATATAAACATATATGGACGAAGTAAAACAAAATATATCATTCAACCTGTATTTTGGCTTACTGACATTTAAGAGTTCAATTCTCTATCTCAAGAAAAAAAAAAAAGGTACAAATACATGACAAAAATAATAATAATAATAATAATAACGGCTTTTGCTGGTTGGGAGAACTTGTTTCTTGGTTTTTTCGGGATGAAAATATTTAAGTACAGTTTTCCGCAAAATTAAGCATTAACATGTAAAGAAACTTTGACTAAACGTTATTAAATACTTACATTGCTGATATAGTTTGTTTGTTGTTTTTTTTGTCCGAATGTTAGATTTATTGGAAAAGTGATAATTCTTTGTACGTAATTCCTGTAGCGCCACCGTATACGTGCAATATCAAATCAATTCCTGTAGCGCCACCGTATACGTGCAATATCAAATAAATTCCTGTAGCGCCACCGTATACGTGAAATATCAAATAAATTTCTCTAGCGCCATCGTATACGTGCAATATCAAATACATTTCTGTAGCGCCATTGTATATGTGCAATATCAAATAAATTTCTCTAGCGCCATCGTATACGTGCAATATCAAATCAATTCCTGTAGCACCACCGTATACGTGCAATATCAAATCATCGGAGCAAACTAACATTTGAAAACAAGCAAAGTAATTTTAGTTAATTTATTGTTGTTGTGTTATGCGTGTGTAAAAAGCTTTGGTACGGAGTGAATCCTGATTTAGTGATGTACGTGTCTGGTGGGGAATATTTTAAATAAAATAACTTATATAAATAGTACTTTGGAACACAAGGTTATGAAACAACAACGTTTAACAGCTTGCTCCAAGAACACCTTAGAAAGGGTTAAAACACCAACGTGTCCATGTACGTGTTGGGCAAATAATTTTAGCTTAGTCCTCTCCCCCTCCTCCCCTAACATGAAGAAACTAGACTGTCCACTTGTTCAGAAACAGGTTTCTTCCAATTTAAAGTTAGTTAACACGATCTTTTCTTCCTGATTCAAAGAGAAGTTGTTGAAAAATATACACGACTAACAACGAAAGAATTTACGAGGTTTTGTCGGTTCCCCCCCCTCTAATATCAAGCAAAGTTGTAAACTTTCAAAAATATACAATATATTTTACTATTTCCCCAAAACATGTTTAACCATTTACGAGTAGTAGTTTTGTCAGTTAAAAAAAATTTTAATATTTTTGGTTACAAATATTGGTCGTTCAAAGACATTGTTATTGGACTACATCTGTTTAAGAAGTTTTTGGACGACGTTTCGAAGTACTAGAGCACATCGTCATCAGATCAATTAACGCCTTCAACTATTAACTTTTTTGTTTAAACCTTCTCCAAAGCAAAAAAAATACTGGTCGTGTATTTCCTCTATATCCATTTCTCATTAAGCTATATTCACGTTGTTTTTCTTTTGTCTTTTTTTTTTCAGGATCTTTTTTTTGGGCGAGATATAACTCTTCTCCTAACATCTTAAGGGAATAAAATTTACTGATATAACTCTTCTCCTAACATCTTAAGGGAATAAAATTTACTGATATAACTCTTCTCCTAACATCTTAAGGGAATAAAATCTAATGATATAACTCTTCTCCTAACATCTTAAGGGAATAAAATCTAATGATATAACTCTTCTCCTAACATCTTAAGGGAATAAAATCTAATGATATAACTCTTCTCCTAACATCTTAAGGGAATAAAATCTAATGATATAACTCTTCTCCTAACATCTTAAGGGAATAAAATTTACTGATATAACTGTTCTCCTAACATCTTAAGGGGATAAAATTTACTTAAATTGTTTAGATTACAGTTGTCGTTCCTATTAAATAAACTTACAAAATACAAAAACAACATTTATTTTATTAATCTGGCAATATACGTTTCCTAAAGACTAACGTTTTTTCTTCACTACTATTGTTTCTTGCTAGAACTAATTCCTTCTCGTTATATTTTATTAATCTGACAATTTATGTTTCCTATAGACTAACGTTTTTTTACTTCACTACTATTGTTTCTTGCTGGAACTAATTCCTTCTCGTTATATTTTATTAATCTGACAATATATGTTTCCTAAAGACTAACGTTTTTTACTTCACTACTATTGTTTATTGCTAGAACTAATTTCTTCTCGTCATATTTTATTAATCTGACAATATATGTTTCCTAAAGACTAACGTTTTTTACTTCACTACTATTGTTTCTTGCTAGAACTAATTTCTTCTCGTCATATTTTATTAATCTGACAATATTTGTTTCCTATAGACTAACGTTTTTTTTACTTCACTACTATTGTTTCTTGCTAGAACTAATTTCTTCTCGTTATATTTTATTAATCTGACAATATATGTTTCCTAAAGACTAACGTTTTTTACTTCACTACTATTGTTTCTTGCTGGAACTAATTCCTTCTCGTTATATTTTTTTCTACTCCACCCCTAACTTCTTTATTTTC